GGCCGGCCCCCATGTTTTTAATATAAATTCAAATTCACACACTAGCCTCAGGTTTGTACATACAAATGCTTCATGTTACTTTGCATAGAATTTTACAATTAAAGTCTCAGGCATTATTTTAAAAACATGTAAAAAAAAAATGTATTCCATATGATCAAAAAGACTCCCAAATCACACCAAAATTCTGAAGTGTACTTTCTTTTTACATTCTCTTTTTCAAAGATAAAATATGAAAACTCTTCTTCCTATATGTTTATCAGGACATTTTGTCCTTAGGTTTAAATTAAACCGTATCTGAATTGCAAAAAATAAATGTCAGCTTTGATGTTAGTATTGTGCTATTGTTATCTGCCTAGTAATATTTTGGGACAGTGTTTAAAGGGAGAATGTTTTAGTGTCTGAATGGTTCTATATTCATATTCTGAAAACATAAGGAGAACATTAGAAATAAATTATGCTGCCAGAGTTGTATTTAGTAGTTCTCCTACTCTGTCTGCAAAATAAGGCTGCTTCAACACAGTGGGTAGGAAAGTGAAAGTCAGCACAAAGTCAAATAGGATGCATCTATTTGGACTGTCCCACCAACAGAAATCACTGAAGGAAAACAAGACATAATTTCACAGTCAAGAAAAGATACAGAAACCCATTATGTGATTTAATTGAGTCCTTATAACATTGAATGGGCCTGGCCAAACACCAACTACAGATAATAACTAAAACTAGCTCCTATTATTTTTGATATGTTTAAATAATCAAAATACTATGCAATTAACCACTAAAATCTCTATGCGTATGAGTAATCAAGTCAATGTTCTAAGAATATCTTAATATACAATTAACTTGTAATCTTTCATAATGATCTTATAAATAAAAAAGATTACTGAAAGCCTTTAGGAATCCCTTTACACTATGTGTTCAGAATCTACTGTCTGAGAAGTTATAAAGATGTTTTCACTATCCATACATGTATGGTGTGTGGGTGGGGGTGGGGGTGGCGGACTGGAGTGAGTGATAACAAGTATGGTTATTTAGGGTTGCTGGCTTAAATTCAGACGAGGGGGTAATTAATCTAAAAATTACACCTACATACTTCCCACAACTATGTGCCTGATCTGTTTTAAGTTCAGACCTGAGGCCCAGTAATCAGTTCAGCCCTCCCTTATGATGCCATCCTAGGAAAATACCTGAGTACTCTGCTCTGGACCAGTGAAAGGCCAGGATGAGTTCTTTCTACCCAAAATGATCACAGGGCACCTTGAGGTCCCTGTTCTAGGTCAAGTGTGTTTTGTAAGGTATCCAACTCTAGTTCTTTGTCCATAAACACTCACTCTTCCTGGTGGACACGGCCTCCAGTACTGGATCTTCAAGGAAGGAGGGGGACACACTGCTGCTGCTGGTCGACTTGTGCAGAGTTTCTTCCTGAGCATGGTATGGGTGGAGAAACAGAGAGAGTTCTTGGACATGAGTGCTCTTATGCTACTCAAACATTTTACTATTAAACAGTTATTTTAATAGGAGACACCAAATTATAATGTCAAAGTTCAAGGTAAGTAGAAGACGAAGTAGAAGGGGCCTAAAATTAGACAAGTCTAGGTTTGTGTCCTAGCTTTGCCCCTTGTAGAGTGATATGACACTAAGCAGGTTTCCTATCTTAGTTTCATCACTTGTGAAAGAGGGTATGTAATGTCGCTTTTCCCACAGGGTCATTGGAAGAGTTAAATGAGATAATGCATGTAAAGTGCTTAACCCATTACCTGACACACAATAAGTGGTGGTTATTATTATTATTAGGGGAATATTGAACACATTCATAAAAATAACTGATTGTGAGCCCCACAAAGGCAGAAGATGGGTCTGCTTTGTTCATTGCTGTATACCTAGTACTAAACTTATCACTCAATAAGCAATGAATAAGTGTTTGTTGAATGAATGAATGAAAATAAACATTTCATAAAATGTCATAGGAGTTTAGGAAAATATTTACATTGTGCCAATAAAATTTCAATTCCTATTACCAGTAGGAAGAGACTTTAATTTGTTTTAGACTAAACCAAAATGAGGTATAGTATTTATTCATAAAATCTTTACTATCTAATATTTGACAGGAGATACACATTAACTGGAAGACAACTAATTTCTACTACAATATCTATGGAATACTGCTAAGTATACAGAAGGAAGAAAATTAGGTAAATATATTCATCCATGACTATGTGACATAGTGAAATTCTCTTGGAGCTTCTTAGCTAAAGTGACTTTAAGAATTAGCCATTCACTAAAAAACTGGCCTCATCTGATTTTAAATACAGAAA